GGTCGGAGTGCAAGCAGGCCTTGCGTCAAGCTGGAACGAACACCATAACCAGGGGGTGCAAGAGCTCCATGTCGACGAACGCGATGATGCGACAATTCACGAGTCGTACGAGTGCGACGACGTTGACAGTGACGACGATTGCAACTCTGACGATTTGCTAGAGATTTGGCCCTTTGGGAGGCAGGTGAAGAGGGGCAGTAGGAGTGCGAAGAAGGGTTCCACTTCGAGGAATCGGAGGAACAAGAAAACGGACGACGACACGTGCAGGAGCGATGGCGAGGGCGCGAGAAATTTCTGGYCGGTCGGAGACACGATCACACTGGTAAGGACCAAAAGGGATCAAGATCTGTATTTTGCGGGTATGGGCCACAATTTTGGCTGCATGAAGAACAGGGAATGGAAGTGGGAGGATGTGCGGTCGAGGTTGGAGAAGATGGGCGTGACGAGGAAGACCATCGTCTGTGAGAATAAATGGGATAACTTGATGCAGCAGTTCAAGAAGGTTCACAACTTTCAGCAGCTGTCCGACGAGGAAGGCCAGGAGATAGGAGGGCTTCAACTTCGTTATGGATCGGATCGTGTACGACGAGATGGAGGCGATGACGAAGGGGGATCACACAATCCACCCAAAGAATTTGGCAAACACGGGGGCGCCGGGGGGGGTTTAGATGCCAGCAGGCGTGGGGGCGGAAGGGGAATCCATGGGCAGTGAGGGTGGAGGGGAGCCCGTCGACGAAGAGCAGGGGTCGACGAAAGATTCGGCATTCAGCACCGGGAGCGTCGGCGGTTCCGAGAAAAGGAAGACATGCGACAACAAACCTTTCGAGGTCGTCGCCGAAATCATGGACAAACATGGAACGCTCATGGCATGCACCATGGAAGCGCAAGCAAGCGGCGATGTTCCATGATGTTACAACAGTGTGAAATCCTGTAGAGTGAAGTGGAAGTGCAGAGGAAACATTATGTTGTGGCAGATGAGGCGAACAAAATGATGTGCAACACCCTTCTGGAGATAGCGAGAGTCATCCGCGAGAAATCATGACGACGCTTGGCCTTTCCAGCTCCGAGCCTAAGCGTCGTGCTTGCTGCCTCTCCTTCCCGGTGATGGAAGCTTTAGCGTTCTGTCTCTCCATCCAATGTGACTGCGGCGTCATCGATCTGTGTGTGTGTGTGTACAGTTGATCGCACGAGCGTGTGTGTGCGACGATTAGCAAGAGGGCTGATTGATGTTTGTTTGTTTTTATTGTCGTCGCCACATTGTCACAAGGTTTTTTTTTGTGGTTGTTTTTTATCTCTTTCATATTCGGGGGGAGTGCTTCGTGGATGTTTTGCGAGTTGCAAATTCACAGAGCCATGTGTGAAAGGGGTTCGGGGGGGGGGGGGGGGGGGGGGGGGGGGGGGTGGGGGGGGGGAGGTCAGGGGATGGGGGGATGGGGGGTAGGGGGAAAGGTTGGTTATTTTTTGTTCTTGTCGATTGCATCGACGCACGCGGTCGGGGCCGTCGAAGGGCCTCTTCGAGGCTTTGGGAGACTACGGTGACACCAGATGATAGGACATATGGTTGCACATGGGCGGTCTGGAAAGCTCTGGTCGCACGTGTCACCGTCGACGATGCCGCCAGCCAAAGAAGCGACGTTGTGGCCGGTCCATCTGCTCCGTCTACATCACGCATTTGCAACCCGGCCCACATAAAGGTCATCTGGTCGTGGCGTCTTCAGAACAGAAGCTGGTCGCCGCACTTGCTATAGAGCGAGCACAACCACGCAGGCCACCCTCCAACTTCTGGCGTCATCGCCGCAGAGCTCTCTCCCCTCATCACCGCAGATGTCTTCAATGTCGTGGAGGATCAGCGCCGTCTCTCTTCTCGCCTTTTTGCCGCGAAGCTCTCTCGCCACGTGGATCTTCGACGTCGTCGCTCTTCTTGCCTTGTCGCCGCAGAGCACTCTCGCCTAATCGCGGCGGAGCTCTCTCGCCATGTTCAGGTTTGGTGTTGTCGGTCTTCTCTGGTTATCGTTGTGGAGCTCTATCGTCGGGGTCCTTACCCTCCTCTTGTACACGTGGACGACGACATCAGTTGTGTGTCGTCGACATTTGTACTTTGTCACCGCATAGGCAGTACTTGTCATGCGCCATTGATACGCATCGTCACTGTTATCGCCAGATCGGTCGGACTTCAATCGCCGCTCAACGTTCTACTCCCGCTCATCTGATCGGACCGGCAACCTTGCTCGTAAAGGGCAAGGCAAACCATGTCTTCACGAGCCGCAGCCCCTGGTAGGAAGCGGGACAGCATCCCGGATGACACTCAAGGGAGGGACAGGGGTCGGAGGCGTGTCCCGAACGCGAAGAGGGTTTGTACGGACGGTGCTTCAGGTAGTGTACCTCCTCGTGAAGCACACGGTTGGGCGAGACCAGCGGAAGTCAACAACGACGACGTATTCACGGCAGAGGAACTACCGCTGGAGGCGACCGTGTTTGCAGTGTGGGAGAGTGGTCGCCAGCGTCCTTCTTATCAGACCTTTGGCAGGACAAGGCTGACGCCGCCACCCGGGGAGCAGCAGATGCATGCCTGCAAAACACGGACAGAGAAGGAGGTTGTTGTCGATCTTAATGTCGATGATGAAGAGCAGTCGGAACAACGTCGCCCGTGCAATGTAACCCAAGTTGCCACAACGACGGCACGAATGACACGCAACGCCTGGGACGAAAAACCATCTCCGGGTGGATTGCCTACCACAACGACTCAGCCACGTCCGCGAAGCCCCGCTGAAGGGGGAGGGTCCGTCGAACGCGGCAGAGGGGGTAGAGTCCAAAAAGACTCACGCATGGCTAGACGCGTGCTATGTGGTACGGTGAGGAGTGGAGCAACGTCGTCAGCCGTGTGTGCGCACACAATAGACCTCAGCGTGGACTTGCCACTATGGTTCGCGGGTGCCAACATTGAGGACAGGCATGAAGACGGCGACATGGCAGCCTATCAAAAGTCCACCATCATATGCATCGCCCATGGATTCCGCGTCGCGTTTCAAATGGGCGTTAACATCGACAGCGGGTTCATCTCACACGACCGTTGTTCGAGGGTTGCTGACTGCTTCAGGTTTCTATTTGTGGCGAGCATATGGTTGATGCGCAAGGCGAGAAATGATCTGTGCAGCCACTATGAAGATTTCTACTTCGCCAAGCTCGTGGCGAAGCCTACGCTCACCGCATCCATGCATTGGTCCTTCGAACATAGACGATCAGTCGTCCGCGCTACAAACGTTGTGACGGAGAGGCTTGGGAAGGCGAACGCAACCATGGGAGAATACCCCAAGTACATTCCAGAATGCAACAGAAAAAATTCCCATAATTAAATAATCATTCTAGAGTAAAATTACATTCTAAATTTTAAATTTTCATTGCATCTTAAAAAATGTCATTCTAATTTTAAAATTTTTCGTCTTACTTGAAAACTTTCCTTCCAAGAATGGGGTATACCTTCTTATTTGAACTGCATGCTAGAGATGGAATGAAAGTCTGGATGAGTTCATGAAATATTTTAATTGGACTGTCATTCTAAGTAAGGATTTCCAGTCATAAATAGGTTAATCCAATCTTAAATTAGACGATATTTGTTGTTGTAGAATGAAAGTCTAATCAAAACATTTCATAAACTCGTCCAAACTTTCATTCCATCTTGAACAAATAGATGTTGTTGGAAGGGAAAGCTCATATTTAGACGGAAACTTATCAAATTAAATTGAAAATTTTAGAATTGGACTGGTAATTTATAAATATGAAGGATTTTTTTTTTATGGAATGTTTTTTCAACTTCCATTTCTCATGGGAAATTTTCTGTTGTGGGCACCCTGCGGCATCGTTTTCGACCACGACGCGAGTATATTAAGGTCGGAGGATGCGAAGAGAATGGATTGGTTGGGCACGGGCCCCCCAGAGGATGAGAACGACGACGGTGGAAAGGATGACGGGTAGGGCGGCAGCGAGCGTGAGATCCCCTTCGCGGGAGAGGGAAATCAATGGGGAAGACGGTGGTGTGCCAAAATGTGTGGGTGCGTGTGTAGACGTTGGTTGTCGTTTAGGGTTGGTCGTTTCTTGTGAATTTGGCAAGTGTGCAGCTCCTGCGAGTTGGAGAGTGACATTTTAGGGTGCTCACTTCTGCATGAGCATAATTCAATCGAGTTGTCGTGTTTTTTGTTGTTATCCTCGGAGCTACTAGAAAGAACAGGAGTGTGCGAAGATCGCACCTTTTTTTTTTTTACATACGTCATCCTTTGTTTTCGTGTGTTCGATGCCTTGAGTGAGTGATGATTGCCACCTTTGCATACACACACCTATCGTGTTCGTGTTTCTTTCATATGATTGTTATTCCTTTTGATGGTTTCCGTAGTTGTTGTTATGGCACCAAAAACTTTTTTTTTTTTTTTTTTTTCAATCGAGGACAGACAATCCACACAATGGCGGTGAGCAGACAAGGTCAAAGTCATGAAATGTTTTCAAGAGGCAATGCCACATTTCATCTTGTCCATGAATTATTGCCGAACGAGAACAACAATCCTCAGAAGAACAAGGGAACACCCCTCGCCACCGCTCCCCTTAACAGACGATCCGAAAAAGCAAGGACAAGATAAAATCGACTACGATTTGTTGAAAACGACAACATAATGAAATGTATAGGCGGCGATATCCCCCCTCCCGCTTGAGCCACCTAATAGTCTATTCACCACCGTCGTCACGTGTCAACAAAACCAGCGTAGAGTCTATAGCCGCAGAGCACAGTATCTCCAACACACAAAGGAAACACTCGTTGGCAGGTTGCCTAAACAACTGGCGTGCGCAACCGCGCACTGCAACACTTACGAAAAGAAAAAACAAGCCATCATAAAAAGCACCATCCCGAAGGCGCGCACAAACACTTCGTAAAAGGTGGGACAAAACCACCGATCTGCTCTCCAGCCAACACTGCAATAATTGCACGAGCGCTACCGTCCACCATGCCAACATGACTCGATTGTGTTTCATTCGTTCTGTCAGAGCATCCCCCAGGATCAGCGCTTCGTCTTGTCGAAGTAATCATCGAAACAAGTTGAAGGGGATCTTGAATCCCCAGGTCCACACGTCGTCACACACCATTAGCGTCGGACTCCACCTCCCAAAGCAGATTTTCGTCGAATGGAATTCCGACGTCGATAAGACTTGGTATTTTGTGCAGTATACAGACGACAGTGAACTGCTGCAGGAGCGTGTCCAAGTTCGTCTTGTGCGTCCGCAGAAACAACCGCCACATGCCCTTTAGCCTGCCAAATACCCTCTCCACTGCTCCCCTCGCCACCTTCTGCTTGTTGTCAAACCGCTCCTCGTCGACATGCTGATTGACGCCTCCATACGGGACGGTCATCCATTCTGAACGGGGGTAGCCATTATCTGCCAAAATGTAGTCGTTCGTCCGCACCCCAAACGGGGGTGTCACAGGGGGACCAAGGAACAACGATCCTGACTCCGCGCGCTGCCAGAGGCTGGACAACTGGACCACCTTGATGTCGTGGCAGCTACCCGGGTATCCCATGTGTACATCGACTACACGAAAGTCGAGGTCGACAACAACCTGCGAGACGATGGAGAAACGACGCTTCCTGTCATAGTTGTTTTCGCTCGGGGCATTCACTGGCTTGTCCGCGTAGATGTGAGTACAGTCAATCCAACCGTGGCAATTGAGGAACCCTTTATCAGCGAACGCCCGAAGAACGACGAGCTTGCGAACTCCAGTCGGCCAGGCAATCTTCTCTTTGTACACCCGAAGCAGCGCGGCAGTCACGTCACGGACAACAACCAGGCAAGAAGCTCTGTCAATTCCGAAGTTGCACGTGCTGCTCTCATACGTCTCCCCCGACGCCCACCCGTATAGTGCGTACACCACAATCTGGTCTGGCTGCAAAGGCTCCTTGTAGAACGTCACCCGCCACTGAAGATGAGGCGCACATGCCTCCATAATTTCCCGGAACACTCGCGGCGACATGCGTAGCTTCTCCCGAAAGTAGTCGTATGTCGCCTCGTCACATTGCCTGAGGTCTTCTCAAGTGCCTCCAGTCCTGTGCTTCATCCACCAACCCGGCATCGCTCGAGGAATTACTCTGCAGCCCAACGCGTAGCACAAGTGAACGGCAGCCTCCGAGGTCGCCACGTAGTTGGGGCCATCATCTGGAGCTTGCGTCAATGTCCTTCTTCTACGCGAGCACAACTGCTCCTTCATTTGTCCCAGCGCCCTCTCCTACTGACATCTCGCAACAACCGTCGACATGACCGCCGCCACGGCCTGCAGCTCAAATGGTGTCAGCAATGCATGTCCGCCCTCTCCGTCGCCCTCCATAGCCGCGACCACGACACGGATCCTTCTCTCCGCTGTCGTATGTGTCGTCCTTCCACACCCAAAAAAAGAAGCCGATGACATCCGACGAAGTTGTCGCCTTTCTTTGGAGGCGCGAAGACGAAAATGTGTTTGACGACGCACTCGGTGTGGAAGAAGGTCGACGACAATGGATGCACCCAATGATGCCAATGCACTCACAGCGGCCGATGGGCGGAAGGGACACCACCGCTGAGTCCGTTTCAGCACTACGCCGACTTTGCGCCGCCAACCTCACGTCATTATCGTCGTCGCACCCATTATTCGAAATTCGAATTTCAAACGTCGAGGTCCCCCGAGTTTATTTTTTATGTCGCCCGCCTGATGCTGTTTCCCGCCAGACTTTGCTGGACCACGTCGCCTCCACACGGACAACAGATGGTGGACCACGGACAACCGATCCCACGACCACAAATTTCCGTATGAAAACGGTTGCGGGCAAGCCGAAAGGAAACATCCTCGGGGGGCATCCCCAAGAATGCGTAGAACGACGCCGCAAATTTTCCTTAAGAACCACAAGGAAAATTCCTTGTGGCTCAAGGAACTCCTAAGGAGTGTCTAACAATGCCCAAAGCTGCAGAAACAATGGGATGTTAGCCTAGGGTGATTAGGCAATGCCGCCGTGGTTCGGGGATGGTGATCCCCCGGGGGGCGACCCGAGGGACCCCCTCCCCTTATTTCCCCTCCCTCCCAAACCAGCTCAGCTCCACCAGCACTCCCCCCAGTATTGGAAAGAGATCACGAAACTCTGAGGATGGTTTCAGTGGTGTAGAGTTGTCGATCTCCATCCACTACTTTGGGGGAAATCCCCAAAAAACACAAGACTCCAATGCAGATTCACCAAGGTTTTCTTCACAAAGCACAGGCAGTACTTTTCCACATTCTTCAGTTCTGAAGGTGGGAGTGTGTCAGGAGGCAGAAGCCATCTTGTTGCCCAAGTGTTCCCTCAAAAACGGTGTCATGCATCAGACCTCAATTCTCGCGCAGGTGGAAATGACGAAGTTCAACAAACAATTTTTCCATGTCATGGGGCACCATTTCAGGAATATCCCTGAAAGGGTCAGTAAGGGAGCGCCAAAAATTATTATGCGGGAACTCACCGTACTTCACCGACTTATGACAATTTCTCCGAAGTAAGCTCAGCAAAGCCAAACCCATAATGTCCATAGATAATTAAGATCAACGGCCAATATCTCTCTTTTTTGTTCGAACATCAATCAGGGGTGATAGGAGCATATCACTTCATTTGTACAAGTGAGACCATGCCCCAGGGCATTGCTCACAGCAAGAATCCCTTCTCTCTTGCCTTTTCTTTTTCTATTTTTTCATTAAAAAGTACAGGGTGTTGTGGAGGTCAATTGCTAGGCACACATTGATCGTCGGAGTGGTTACTCATGGTTTCCCCAAGGAGACAAGGGTACCTCCCATCCATCCTCGCGTCAATACTCCTAGCGCATCCCCTATCCCTACTACCCTACCTCAGTGTGACGAGCACTCAAGACCATTACCCTACCAGTAATGAGGGGAACTTGGACCGAACAGTAGTGACAGGCACCAGGGCCAGTACACGGCCCCAACCTTGCTGAAAAGAAAACTCGTCGCCTACGAAAATTTCGGAGGCCCAGCGCCATGGATAAATTGAATTGGCGGTAGCCGGCCTCCGAAAAGGGCCCATGACCGATGCTGGATGTATTGGTGGTTTAAGGCGGGGTACTTATCATCAAGATGCCTATCATCATCACCAGACCAGTCAGTGACTCTCGCCCTCTACTCTCCCACCACAGACCTAGCTGTGTTTGAAGGCGGGATACTTATCATCGAGACGCCTATCATCATTATTAGGAGATTGTTCCCCTAAGTTGACCGACTAGTAACTTGCGCCCTCTACTCTCCCACCACAGTCCTAGTTGTGTATAATAAGGCGGGGTACTTACATCGAGACGCCTATCATCATCACCAGTTGATCACTAGACCAGCCCGTGACTCACACCCTCTACTCTCCCACCACAGACCTAGGCGGGTACTTATCATCAGAGCGCCTATCAGCATTGTGTGTGTGCCTTTTTAAGCAATGTGTATATGGTATGTGATAGGCTGTGGGGCTCGTGAGACACTCCTCACAATGATGTGATCGTTTCACCTATCCTCGAGGAAGAAATTGAGAAAAAAATGTGAAAACATTTCCTCAAAGAATCCTTGTAGCGTCCTTGTAGCCCAACCTTTTCCTGCTCTAGTGCAAGGGACCTCATGAGGTCCTTCGGAGCTCAAGGGGCCACGATGATCGGAGCGGCGAAGGCACGTGTCATCGGCAAAGAAGAGAGTAGGGAGAAAAAAGAAAATTTTGGCAACACTTCCTTATCATCAAGAGGTCAAAATGTCTACCAATAGCATAAATAACTGAATCCTTTTTCTTTTTTTTGGAAAATCATCCAAAAGAGGTCTGTTAGTGAGGGTGATAAAAGCATCCCCTACTAATAGAACCTCGGTCGAAGATGGCTCCAATCTATTGGTGGGGAGCTGCACCAGCTGGAAACTGGGTCCAGTGTCCCACTTAGAACACATGATCCAAAGATGAGCCATGGACTAATCGTAATCATAGATGGTGAGCAGCATTGATTCTCTTCGTACGAGGGGATTCAACTGCCCACCCCCAATCAAATCATGTCAAATCACCGCATATCCAATCACATCAACCCAATTCAAATCAAATCAATCCATGTAATTCCAATCTAGAACAATCAATCAACCAAAGTGGAATTTAGAACAAAAACTCAACCCGCTGTAACCTCTCCCCCCAGACCCTCCCCCTTCCAGTTTGGAAGTGTGAATGGCCTATAGGCCAAAGAGGAGCAAACTGTCCCGTCAGCAAAGCATCAACAGTAGCAGTGGTGCATAACCCTTCTCTCTCTTCCTCGCTAGAAGAATATCTTGCCCCCCATCAGCAGAGCATCAACATTAGCAATGGTGCATAACCCTTCTCTCTCCTCCTCGCTGGAAGAATATCTCGCCCCGGGATGAAATCCTATGTTTGAAGTGCAATCCTTCCTTCTCTCCCCCCCAACTACCCCACTCCTTCTCGCCCCCCCCAACAGGTGTCACTCGCAAAAGGACACATTTGCAACCACTATCCGACAACCGCGGGTTCGCATGGAGGCAGGGGGGGAGGGAGACGCTCGCCAACACAGGAGGAATGACAAGCAGAGAAGCACCCGCACGGGGGGATGGCAGGAGAGAGCATGTCGTAGAGCGGGATTTGGTACACATAGAGCCCCCTTATAAAGTGGGAGATAGATGGAGGGGATACTGAGATCTTACCTTCTAATGCACTCCACCCTCCCTCGTCCTCCACCCCCTTTTCCCCTCGATAAGAATTAAGCCAGACAGGCGAGTAAGGTGGTCTTGTTGGTATGGAGAGTCGATCGCCCTCATCGGTCAATATGAAGAAACAGATGATGAAGGCTGGATTGTCAGAAAAGACCTCAGTAAACCGCTAGCATAGTCAAAAATGATGGAAGAGACGTCATTGTTGGCAAGGATATAATCATCACCAACATTAGTGTTGTTAGAGTTTTCACCGTTGTCATTGTTTGTGTCATCATCTTTGAAAGAAATGGCAGCAGCATCATTATTGATAATGTGGTCGTTGAAGAGGGTGTTTTCGTAACCGATGGTGGTGGTGTTGAAAACGCCGCAGCTGTCCTTTTTTATATCGTCTTTAATGGGAGTAACAGCAGCGGTGCAATTGTTGATAATGATGAAATCGATAATGTTGTTGTCCGTTGATGTAGAGAGCACTCCAGACTGATCAGATGAATCTACCATGCATGTAGAGCAGCATCCTCAATAACATATGTTGTTGTAGTTGGAACAGTTGGAAGCTGAAACCCAGACCCCGATGGAGATACTAACCATGATTCTTGAAGGAGAAAGTGCCCATTCACCACCATGGTCGCTGGCAACTCGTCGCCCAAGCCCTTCACCAGCACAGCCCCCTGAGCACACCCCAAATCAAACAACTCGTAGCACTTGCTCATAAGGACCGTCACTTGGCTCTTATCAGGAAGAGCTTCTCGTAGAAAAGTGAAATCCTCCTCTAGTTCCCCAAGCATCTCTGAAATACCTTGCATGGTTGTTTTCACCCGTCCAACTAGTGAGATAAGTTCTAACAAGATATAGAGGTGCCGCAACAAAATTCGAATTTTCAGAATAAATAAAAATAATAAGTAAAATAAATCAGAAAATGAGAAAATAAGTAGGGAATAAAATAATTTGAATTTTTGGAGAAAAAAAATAAAATTTGAATCGAAGAAAAAAGCAAAAGAAGAAAAAATAAAAAAATTTGAAGTTGGGGGGGCGGGGAGATAAAAAAATGATGAAGAAAGGGAGAAATAGGTGAGAAAGAGAAAAAGATTGAAGTGGGAGGTGAGGAGATGATGGGGTTGTAGTTGGGGGAGGAAAATGGGAGAGAAAGGTCAAAAAAATGAGAGAGAAAGGGATGGGAAAGGTGGAGAAGATGAGGAAAAATTGGTGGAAGAGAGTGAGTAAGGAGGAGAGGGGAGAAAAAAATGGTGGAAGATGTTTAAAGAGGGAGGGGTATGAGAGAACAGTGGGAGGAGAGGAGAGAAAGAGAGAAAATAAGAGAGAAGAGTGAGGTAGGATGAGTTTGTAGTAGTAGAGCTGGAAAAGAAGACTAAATTATGGGGGGAGG